TGGAGCTAATAAACGCAACAGAACTGTATTTGCATTGTCTCTTGGAGTTCTTTGGGCTGAACCTGACAGGTCTGGACCGGTGAAATTTCTCTGGAGGAAGAAGAGATCATTGAGATAACCACGTGACCCCGGACAACTGCTCCTTGTGAGTGGACCGCAGGAATCATTTTGCGGTCAGCTTACAAGTTAAGTGGCTGGGAGCTGAGGGATAACTTCAAGCTCATACTTGTAATGCAGCCTTTTAAGGACATAAAGCTTGACCAAGCCTCATTTCTTGACCACTTTTTGGATTAATTTTTTTATTGTACTGGAAATCTTAAAACCCTTCGGATCGGCAAGGTTTTACTACGTTCATCAGGTGAGTTGCCTTCTCCTTGGAGAAAGAAGTTTTAAATGCGATTTTAAAAGTTCTGGAAAAATATTATTTTTTGGATTAAACAGCAAAAGGGTGCTTAGAATATGGATTTTAGAAAGTTAAGAATGGATTAAGGGTCCAGATGGACTTGGAAGCACAGTTTTGAATTAATTAGAAGATTTCTTACGGTGGGAAATGGCGATTGTTTGGGCTTTTTAAAGAGGAAACAAGATAATGGGACCTTGAAGTTTGGATACTAAGGGGAGCTAGAGGACAATAAATTCATTTTGTCATGAAAGAATGGAGCAGAAATCTCTGAGGGACATTTTTGAATTCTGGTCTTTAAAATTACTTTGTATGATAGTGTGTAGAAGAAGGAGGAGGAGGAGGAGGAGGAGGAGGAGGAGGAGGAGGAGGAAGCAGCTACAACAGATGATTTTGAAATGAATTTGAATGTGGATTTAAATGTGTCAAGCAATGAGAAGGATATGGAGATACAAATGAAACTGATGGATGTTTCACTGCTTAAAGGAGATCTATAATTATTAAGCCAGAAAAGTGACTTGGATAACTTTTTCTTACTAGATCCACAAAAGAAGTCTGCTAAAGACTTGAAGGACTTTATGAGAAGTGACACAGAGAGAGGGAGAGAGACAGAGAAATTTTACTTACTGGATATACAAGAGAGGTTTCTTAAAGTTTTGGAAGATTCTTGGGTTAAAAAAAAGACAAATAGAAAACAAGCTCTGGGACTACATTTGAAGGGGTTAAATATTAAGATTGTTAAAAATGCAGGGAAGGAGTACAGGGTTGGCTTATTCGATCAAGGTTAAAATGGAAAATTAGTGATATCTGGTCTTCCTTATTGGACTTTTGCTGATAAAGAACGAATGATGAGGCTTTAGGATTTTGTTTTTTAATTAAGAAATGCGTTAAGGGGTGAAGAGAGTATTTGTTGTATTAAGAGATGGTGATAAGCTATTAAAATTGTTTTTACTTGCTGGGGTGAAGGGGGAAGTTTCTTCTTTTTTCTTTTCTTCTTTTTTCTTCTTTTTTCTTCTTTTCTTTTCTTTTCTTTTCTTTTCTTTTCCTTTCTTCTTTTTCTTTTTTCTATCCTTTTTTCTTTTTTGTATTTTTCTTTTTGTATTTCTATATTTTTTGTAGTTTGTACTTGTTTTTATTCTCTCTCTTTGTATAATAAAATTATTTGAAAATAAAAATAAATGGGGTAGAAGTGAAATTGATCATTTTTTTGTATATTCAGTACAGAAGTGTAAAGTTTCTATTCTCTTTTCGAATTTGCCTTGACGTCGGTTCTACGTTGGCTGCCATTCCCACAACATTTCACAGTTGTGCAGCTTCGTAGTACAATTTAAGGCTGGGAATATTTCTAATCCATCCTCTTCTGATGTAGTATACGTTATATTGCATGAAACCCTGATGCAGGCTAAAAAAATTTTGTCCTCTGGGAATTGCGGGTGGAGATAGACTTGGAAGAATCTGAAATAGACATCGCCGTTTAGGCAATAAAGCCATTATGTCCCAACCATGGAAGATGAAGATTGACCCAGCCCCTGGATTTTCTTTTTAATGTATTTAATGTGTCACATTTTCCCCATGAGTCAGTTTTCATTTTGAGCTGCGGAACTCCCTTTTTAAATTTATTGGTTAATCATTTTAGATGCCTTATTTATCACGCTTGTAAATTTTCTATTGAATAAATATCCACTGGAGGGGGCAATTTTATTACTCTCCAAGTTCTCTATGTTTCTCCTCTTCGGAGTCAACTTTTCATAACTGTCTTTAGAGCTTCATTTTTTATGCTGTTTCTCCAGTTACGTCAAAATCCTGGTTTGACCAGGAGTGTGTTTAAGTGAAGTTAAACAGAATGCCTTTTTTAAATGTATACAGGACTAACTCCTGGCCTCTGTTGGGGAGTTAATTTGGGCAAGCCAAAAAGAACCCCCCAAATATCCAGTGGATATTTATTCAATATCCTTCATTGTTAAGGTGTTGTGGTGGAGCTGGGAATCATAGGTTTCCAGTAGAAGGCAGGCCAACGCCACACACATCACGACATCATCATGCAAATGGCACACATTATATAATTGGATGCAACTCACACAAATAACGTGATTCACAGCATTTGTGCAATGTGTAATGATGTGTGTGTCATCAATTGTCTCTCTTCAAATGCCCATGCTGGAGATGTGAACTGCAAGCCACTAAGTCACTTTTTGGCCCAGATAAGGGGGGCTACTTAGAATGGGGGGATCAGATGACAAAGTCACTGCCTGTTAACTTCTGAGAAGAGTTTCATGCAGTTCTTTTAGGAGCACATCCTTCGTTTCACGCGCACCATTCCCGTGAGCGCATTGCATTCTGAATGGGCCTCAGTATCTTTAGACTGACTGCGACATTTTAAAAAATGGGAAAGTGCCTGAAGGAATCTTGATTTTCCTCAAATTGTTGGCAACCAGTGAAGACTGGAGAGATCCTACCTTTGTTTTTTATTTACATTTATTGAGGATTTTACAAAAAGCAAAAAGCAAATCTAAAGAAAAGGAAAAGAAAGAAAGAAGAAAGAAAGAAAGAAAGTAATGCGAGAAAAGAAAAAAGCAAGGAAAAAGCTAAAGTTATGGAATAGGACTTCTGACCTTCTCTTCAACAGATATTAACAAACCTATTGTCTCCCCTCTCTCTTAACTCTTCCAGAAATCCCTCCAACCCTTTATTTAATTCTCATCTGGTTCAATCATTAAATCCATAAATCACCCTT